AGAAGCTGCCCATGTCTCACCATCCCGCATCATAAACAACTCAACCTGATATATAGAAGCCACTGGTAAGAAGGCATTCCTGTCCCGGGAGGGTCTGTGTGTAGCTCGCACCACTGCGTGACCACCTCGAGCCTCGCAACTCGTATAATCTGCCCATGGCAATGTGCATGGGTTGAGGCCTTAATTACGTCCGAAGGTTCTCTCGCGCCGTACAATTCTTGATAGCGCCCCATCCATTCATTATGAAAGAATACAAGTACTGAGTTGGTTCGTGACGGTCAATGGTGATATTGAAGAGATCGCGACATGTCCAGTGCTGTCCGTTTTCTGATCTGACCGAACACCAAACACATACGGCGCGGATCATCTCACGACCCGCGAGGAAGCGCTCCTCGATCTGGCACGAATGTTCCACGCGGTTCATTTGTGAAGATAAATGGGTATGTTATGCCGAAAGATTACGGTTGCGTTTCATCTCGGCGAAGTTATCAAGCATATTTGTTGCTATCATCAGATCAAGACGCATGAATGCTCCAGCTGTCTGGCGATTCTCCCTGGGAATCTCCGGATTCGTGGCTTCTGTGATCCACGCTTGCGCTGGCTTGACATCGTGCCGAGACCCAGCCGCTGCCCTGGCGCAGTGTTGTTTCCATTCTCGCAGTGTCTGAACACTTGGGATGTCCATAAGGTCAAGCTCTCGATTGTTCCCAAAGGTTCTCCAATTTGGAGCCCGCGCGATCGGCAACGCACGGCTGCAATGCGGGGTCGTTGGGGCCATTCGGCCCTCCACCGCCATCTCCGTCTGGGCATCCTCGACCACCGGGCCCCCCTGGGGGTTCGATTGGCGGCGTCGGTTTCCCCGTCTCATCGACTTGCATAGCCGCAATCATCCCAGTACTGGGCGCGGCGCTCTTGCCACTCCTCTGATCATCATAATTTCCCCCCTGCCCACCCCCACTTTCACCGGGTGCGGCTGAGCCGATGGCAGAGGGAAGGTGACCAGGTAAACCGCAGTTGTCGGGGGGCCCTGAGAAGTTGGTCTTAGAAGGGGCGCCCCCAAGATTCGATCCTCGAACTTGTTCTTGGATCGAACCTTCATTCGCATTAGCGGATTTCACGACAGCTGGCCCTGGAATGAAACGCGAGTTCGAGAGGGGGAGACTGGGTGCATGTTGCACTGTTGACGGAGGCATTCGATAAAAGTCCGACTCCGCTGGCCCGCGCAATGGCATGCCCATGATCGCGGCGAAATTGATAGCCCGCCGTTCCAACCAAGCGTCTTGTTGCACCATAAGCCTTCGTCTTCCGCAACTTTTCTTGGTCTGCTCTGGCGGCGGCGATATCTCGTTTAATGGCTGCCAGTTCTGCCTCGCGTTCTTCTAGCTTTTGCAAGTGCGCATGGTTCCGTTGAACAACCCCCCAAAATCCATCCGCGCGCCTCGGCGCCGCCTTCTAGGCATGGCTTTTATTGCGGAGGATGTCTGCAGATGCGCTTAGCTGTTCTTCCTTTATCTCGGGGTCGTCCTGTTCCCTGAACTCTCTGCTCCTGGCGCATGCTGCGCACCTCTCGGCACCTCCGCCCAGGTGCCCCCTGCGCACGGGTTTCGCGCAGCCCGCGCAAATCCCGAAAGGCATTGAACATATGTGACGCGGCCCATCTGGCGCACCCATTCGCGTTCGAGCCGGTTCGGTCGCCTTCGCGCGAACCGGGCGAGCAACGTTCCAATTCGGGGGGGGCTCGACATGCGTCGGCTGGGCTTGCGCTGAGTTAGCCCTCTCCCGTGATCCAACACCTCCCGGCAGAGCCGTAGGTGTAAACTCGATATCTGGCGCGACTGCTGCGCCAGCTTGCCTAGCTGTCCGAATCTTTTCTAAGGGCCCCCTCGCAGCCCCGCGTTGCCCCAGGTAAGACATTAGCCTTCTGTTGTCTTCGCTCACGGCGCGAAAAGTTAGAGCACCGTTCTTGATTTGCTCATTTGCGCGCCCGTTAGCATGGTTCCAGGCTTCGGCCATCCTTCTTTGATCATCGCGCCTTAGTGCCTGGGCCTTCTTTTCCTGCCCCTGGAGCGCCCGCGCCGCTTCTAATTTCACCTTTTCGGCCTCGAGCCTGGCGGCGTCGCGTTGGTTGCGGAGCTCCTGGCTTTCTCGTGCCGCCTGTTATCGGGCCTCTCTCTCTCTCTCTCTCTCTCTCTCTCTCTCTCTCTCTCTCTCTCTCTCTCTCTTTCTCTTTCTCTTTCTCTCTCTCTCTCTCTCTCTCTCTCTCTCTCTCTCTCTCTCTCTCTCTCATCTCTCTCTCTCTCCTCTCTCTCTCTCTCTCTCTCTCTCTCTCTCTCTCTCTCTCTCTCTCTCTCTCTCTCTCTCTCTCTCTCTCTCTCTCTCTCTCTCTCTCTCTCTCTCTCTCTCTCTCTCTCTCTCTCCCTCTCTCTCTCTCTCTCTCTCTCTCTCTCTCTTCTCTCGTCTGGCGGCGTTAGCTATCATTTGAAATTCAATCCGCTCTTTCTCGGCCTGCTGTCGAGGCGATGGCGACATTTGTTCGACCGCACTCTGCGCGGGCAATCTTTCTATCCATACCCAGTGCGTCTTGGACTTTCCTGGGGGGGGGGGGGGGGGGGGGGGGGGGGCGCCGCAGGGCCGAGGCGCGCTGGATACGGATAAAATCTAGCCTTCTGGGGCCAGAGTTTAATCCATATCCAGCGCGCCTCATGTCTTTGGGGAAGAGAGCCCGAAACTCCAAGACGCACTGGATGTGGATATAGAAATTGCCCGCGCTCTGGGCCTTTCGTTTTTCTTCCTCTTCTTGAGCGAGGCGGCGCTGAGCCGCGCCCGCAATCCCTGCTACATCCGCATCCGCCTGCAGCATCCGTCTCTGCGCGCCTTTCGCAATGGCGCCTTTTCCTTTCCAGCTCTCTCTGCCATTGCCCTCTTTTCTGCCTCGGATTCAGCGAGCTTGCGGCTGGCTTCTGCGGCGACCGCTTCATCCGCGCGCGCCTTAAGTAGAATATTTGTTTCTGCGCACTTGCTGCGCTCAGCGGCCCCCTACCCTGTTTTTCTGATTTTCTTCCCACTCCTGAATGGCGATGCGACGGCAATTGTGTTCCTCCAGCGCAATGCATTCTTCGCAGAGCCACGCTAAACTGCATTTCGGGCACACCCTCGAACATTGCGCACATACGGGTCGTCGACACGACCCCCCCGGTTTGCGCGCTTCCCCGGGCAACGATTCTCCGCCTGAGGCGGGCATCTGGAGCCTGCGTTCCAGCAGCTTTCCCGGATCGAAAAACTGCCGGTGGTCCTGATCGACGATGGGCGAAGTGATTCGAGGGCGTCAAATCCCCTGGAGCTGGAGCGCCCAGCTCTCGGGGCCTTTTCACGACCCCTGCTGGATGTGGGTGTATGTTGCTCCCTCGTTGAGTGTCGTGTTGCCTCTGCGTTTGCCTTTCATCTTGCATAATGAGCTCGCCAAGCTCTGGTACACTGTCATGGCCAGCCCTTGGTAGCGTGAAATCTGGTCGATCGAAACCCTGCGATAACGGTGGAAGATTGAGATCTTCAGTGTCGTTCTTGTTTCTCTTTGTCTTCGGGAGCGGGGTCGCACCGGTCGGTTCTCTCGCATGCCTAGCTGGACGCGTGGCATCTGGCGAATTCGCTATCGGCTGAGCCGACGAACTCTCCCTTCCACGATCCGCTCTCTCTCTGTCGGGGTTTCTTCCACCCCCAAGGTCGTCATCCGAATCAAGAAGGGTCTTACGAATATCCTCGGCCGGTGCATAATCAATCGTTTATGTATCCGACGGGTCTGCGCCTGAGGCGAGCCCGTCAGATCCGTCCGGGAGAGGATTGAGGCGATGTGATGGACCAGGCGACGTATGAAATTGAACATATCCCAATCGAATGTGAGCTCTCTTCCTCGAACTGTCCGTCGCCATCGTTTTCGCCCTGCCCATTCATCACAAACTGCGTAACTCGTTCCTCGTTCCGTTTTTCCTCGCCCGCCATTCCCATGTGAACATTTCCTGGCGATATCTCCATTCCATGGATCGAGTCGACTGACAGCCGGGGGGACCGAGTGCGCTGATAAGATTTCAGATGGCCTTCTGAGGGAAACACTGGCTGAGCCATATCTCCCGCCTGGCTTTCGAATGTTCGTCTTCGTCGGGTTATCCATAGGGGAATCCCCTTCCGTCAAATACAGACTCCAATGCTTGCCTTATGGGAATATTGAAAAAATGAAGCCGCCCCCAGGGGCGCCTGCCTCACTAATGCGCTCGGGACGGTGTTGTTGTTCTACTCATCCGAGCGCTCCTTCCTGCGATCCCATGCTCAGCGAAGCCAACGGCTGAGCCGTCGTTTCGGTTGATAACCAGCTCTTTGCCTGAACATCGACTGCCCCTGCAAGATATCCCGGTAATGTCTCATGTTCAGAGGGGCTCCGCCGAAGCCATGGCAGGAAAACAGTGTTCCGTTAAGCTGACTGTAGAATATCCGTGAAGGGAGGAGACCGGCCCGCCGGCCGACGCGCGCGAGGGCGGGCACGGTCCCTTTTCCACTATTCTCGAGCCTATATAGCTGCAGCAATCAAACATGTCAGCGCAAAGAAGCGAAGGCCAGGGCAGCGGGTCGGCGATGCGGAGAGGAGTGCATTGACTCAAAGAGGATACGGTCAGGATCTTGTGATTAGCGTGTCGCGGCGGCGGCCCGGGCGACACGCTATGCCCTGTCAGCTGATAGCGTGTCGCTCCGCTCCGCGGGGCGGGAAGCTGGGAAAAACATGATAAGTTGACGCTTGGGGACCAGCACGTGGTTAGCGTGTCGCGCCCACGCGCGGTGGGGATCTCTCGTGCAGCCTCGACTCACCCCTGTCTAGTTGGATGACTGAGGCAGAACCCAATGGTAGAGGGTAACTGACGGAGACATGTTAACTCGCGTTAGTAGGTATGGGACGACGATCCACAATCAGACGACGAAATCAAATCCTCACAACGATTTTGTATACGGCCGGCCTTCCCGTCTTGCAGCCTCTTGAAGCCATGGCGACCAAAGACGTCCCGCTGCAGCGAGACCACCTGGCAGCGATCCCAAGCTGGATTCACCCAGCTCCACGTGAAGGGACAGGACGCGCGAGGGTGAGCAGGCGTGTAGACACGAAACTGTGTACTCATAGGCGTCCATGGCGACAACAGAGCCGAAAACAGACCGAACCCAAAGCTAAACCGAAACCGACTGAAACCGGCGGCCCTGAAGCAGCCCAGGAGGGCGCAGCGACGCGGGCAACGAGACAGCACCCGACCGAACCGAACCGACCGAACGCAACGGACACCCCCTTGGGCACCCGTGAGGCACGCGGGGGGGGCCCGCGACGACCCCACTGCGGCCCGCGAGGGCCCGTGGCAGGCTGGCCAGGCCAGCATCGTGGATGCTCGAGGCGCAGCTCGCGCACGAGGCCCGGCCGCACCCAGACCGCAGAGGGTAGACAAGACGAAACCAGGACAGGGCCAATGTCCGGCGGTTCTGGAGGATGGATCGGGCGCCGCGGCCTTCTCAGAGCGTTCCGGAACCCTCCGAGAGCGTTCTGGGAAGCTCTGGAACGATCTATCCCTGTCCTGGCCCCGCCCGGAGAGGAGAAAGGGGGGGATGCAGGAGTGGCCTTGGGCAAGGGCGGCCTTCGGTGTGCGGCTTTAGGGGGCCGCGGGGGGAGGGGGGAGGGGCACATCCACGCGCGCGGGCCAACGCCGGGGTGATCCCTGTGGGCCCGCACCAGGGGTCACTCCAGCGAAGGGCCACGCCTACACGTGGCCGAAGGAGAGGGGATCATGGACTGCGCGTGCCAGGCATTCGGCGAGAGCGCGGGGGCAAGAAGGTGAGCCGAGGCTCTTCCCAGAATCAGGGGAGCAACGTAGCAGGAGGGAGCGGTGGTGACGAGCGACCATATGCGAATCCTGCTCCTGTCGTTTAGATAGCCCCGCGGGGGTCGAAATTGTAGCATGTCTTCGAAAAAGCGAGCCTCTACGGGGGCATCGGATACCCAACGACCACTAGGACTAGCAGGGGGACCAATACGGATTTGAATAGCAGACATGCATGTCGCACAAACTATGAATACAAAAAGCCTCCCTTCCAAAACCGTCCAGTCCCGCTGTCGGGTTTCTTGGGCAATGTCCCACCTGCCCGGCCATGAGGGTTGACCGCACCATGGCCGTCAGGTAGCCCAACGACGCCTCCAGCGGATATGGCAGGGGATGGCAAGCTTCGAGCGGGAAGACGGCATCTCAAATAGGCAGCACTGCGGGCTCTTGGCCACCCCTGGCGGACCGCACGAGTCTGCATGACGGAACGAGGATCCAGTGGAACCGGGTCCAGGACACGCGGGCGGTCCCAAGGATCGTGCTCGGCATGAGTGTTTGTCAGGCGGACGGCGAACAGAAATCCAGGACGTCTTTCCTCATGGGCCCGTGTTCTTCATACCGAGCACATCAAGCCTGCCCCAACAGAGCGCTCAGGAAGTGCTTTCCCAGCTGTGAAAAAAAGCGAGAATGCACATGCGCAGCAGCCAGGCGTCACTTCTTCTGGTGGTGGGTGTGCACGCTGAGTGCGAGCTTGGAGCTGGAGAGATATCGTCTAAGAGATCGGACGCTATGAATAGTCATATGGACTTGGCGCGAATGACTGATCCGTCCGCGTGCACGCCACAAAATATTGCATTGTGTGGTTATGCATGTGCTGCTCAGCCTTTCGCGATGCCAAGGCTCGTGAACCAAACGTGACCAAATCCATGACAAGCAAATACTGGTCGCGTCGTAGCTCACTGGTCGGCGGCGGCCCTGGCAACACGCTATGCCCTGCACGTGGATAGCGTGTCGCTCCGCTTCGCGGGGCGGGAGCCTCGAGACGTTGACGCTTGGGGGCTGGGACGTGGTGAGCGTGTCGCGCCCAAGCGTGGCGGGCCAGAACCAGCAGCGCGACACGCGACGCACACGGTGCCGACCGTGCACAGCTCAGGCGCCTGTGAAACAGGGCAATGCAGCCGTCGGTGCTGCCAGCATCGTGCCGACGAGCAAGCAGCCCCACTGTCCAGGCTCAGCTCCGCCCCTCACTCTTGCTCCACCCCCTCCCTCCCGCCCCAACCTCCACCTCCCTCCTGTTCCCTGCCCCGTCCCCCTTCCATCCGCATGACCCCCTCTCCTCCTCCCCTTGCTCCCCGTCCCCAGTCTTCTCCTCCTTCTCACCCTCCTCCATGAATGACTCCTCCTCGTTGTATCGCCAGCCGTGTCGGTAGGGCGGGCTGGACATTCCACCTGATCCTCTGCAGGCCAAACGATTTCGAACATGTGGCTCCGTAGCGACGCACACGATGTTTTCAACAACTTCCAACAATTATGGGGATGGAACGGGACATGTTCAAAATGTACGTATCCCCTTCTCACTTCGCAAATTCGTTTAGAAAACTTCCAACTTCTACAGCGATTTAGGGCAAACCGGGTTCGACACGTGTTCATGGTCAGATCGCCACGAGCAGCCGACTTAAAAACTCCAACCGGTGGAGGACGGATGGTTTCAAAAATATGGTTCTCGCCCGAACGCCGCCCCAATTGCCTTGACAAGTTTCGGCAATCACAATGACGGAGCGTCAGCCTGCTCCAAGATTGGAGGACGGGTGGTTTTCAAAATGTGGCCTTCGTCTGAGCGCCGCACAAAATTGTCAGGGGCCCTTCCAAGTGTTACAACTGCGGACGGAGAGTCGTTTTCAAAAGGTTGCTCTAGCCCCATCGCCGCGCACATTCGTCTGAAAGGCTATCCATACCTACACGGGTGGACAGCCTTGACCCGCTGCCCCAGGCAAAGCGCACACATGGGATCGCGTACCCATGGGATCGGGCCCCAAGTGTCCAGACCGCGAGGGCATGGATGTGGACATGTTCGCCGCGCGTGGACTCCGTGGCGAATGGCCCCACGGAGGTGTCTTTCCGGCAGCCGGCTGCGCCTCGCCAGGGGAGGGGACGCCTGGAGCTCCATCCCGAACGGCAGCCTGGAGCCCGAGCTGCGGCCCGGAAGCAGGCCAGGGAGAGAAGAGGGCTGAGGATTGCAGTGTAGCGTTGATGGGCGTAAAGGTAGGCATAAACCTTGGAATCGGCTGGGGCGCTTGGGCTTTCCCACCCTTGATGTATGTGCTCGATGTGAACGTTGGGGTTGCATACCTTCTGGTCCCAGAGCTTGGGGAATGAGCGACGTTGCAATTGGTAATGGTGGGTGATATGCGTTTAGCGCATATCCTCTGGTATCCACCTCTGTCTCGTAGCACCATGACCGGGGGGTCAACGCATGTGGGGCAGACGTCCCAGCATGAGGGGACGACGAATGATGGACCCAAGCATAATGTGGGTCAGCAGTGTGTGTGTGTGTGATTAATGTGAGCCCCATGTTGTGTCAACATCGGTGCTGACAGAATGCACCAATTCAAGCACCAACGTGCGTTCCCAGGGGGGCACAGTTTGTCCGCCCCACGGGGGGTACAAACATAGCTCGGTCTTCAAGTGACCAGAAAACGTTTCGGTCCTCGTGGGATGTCGGCGGAGCTTGTGCGGAAGATGGCGGAGGCAGAGGTGGTCGCCTCCCAAGGGTGACACCGGCCGATCGGTGGTGAGGAGCCCTGTGGCAACCTAAACGGTCGCCTCCTGGGATCCCTGGGATGGGGGCCCAGGATGGTGGACGCACTCAGTTATGACCCCGTCCGAGTCCAGGGCAGCCCCACTCCCCGGGTCTAACGGCCACGACCCCAAGATGAGGTTCAGAACGGAGGCAGACGCGGTGACTGAGGAATAGCAGTAGACAACAGCGGTCAAAAGGCGAAGGGGTGTGAACGAGGAAACCCGCAGATGAGAGGGGAACGCCAGAATTGAGAAAAACAAACGGTTGCATTCTCCATTGGGCTCCTGGGAGGTCGAAGGAACCGATCGCAACGTCAATGGAGAAGGTGCGCAGGACCGCCGGCATTGCCGCCAGGCTGTGTCCAGGAATACAGAAACTCTGACGAAACGAAAGAAGATAAGACCTTTGCATGACCGCCAGTCTGTGTCGGTAAGCGCTTGTCTCGTAGGTGTGGTAAACGTGCAGGACAGGCGGCATTTCCGCCGGGCTGTGTCCTGGAGCCGAAAACCTGCGACGGATCGAATGGAAATATCAAGCTGGATCCAGTAGACGCATGCTTCGTGAGTGGCGTAGGTGTGCAGAACCGCTGGCATTGCCTCCGGGCTGTGTCCACGAGAACGTGAACTCCGACGAAGCGAATGAAGACAAGACCTTTGGTATTACCGCCAATAGTTGTCCAGTAGGCGCTGGTCTCGTAATCGGGGTAGGCGCGCAGGACCGCCAGCATTGCTGCGGGGCCCCCCCGCGGCGGGGCTATGTCCCGGAAGGCAGAACATCAGACGAACCGAATGAAAACAAAAGGCTATCCAAGAGACGCATGCCTCGTGGGTGGGGTAGGTGTGCAGGACCGCCGGCATTGCCGCCCGGCTGTGTCCCGGAGGGCAAAAACTCCGACATGTCGAATGTGCAGAAGACCACTGGCATGTCCGCCAGGCTGTGCCCAGAAAGCGCTTGCCTCGTAGGTGGCAGGTGTGCAGGACCGCTGGCATGGCCGCCAGGCTGTGCCCCCGAGAACAGTATCTCCAACGGAGCGAAGGAAGACAAGACCTATGGCATTGCCGCCAGTCTGATGGGGGAAGCGTGCAGGACCGCCAGCATTGCCGCCCAGCTATGTCCTGGAGCTTGAAGCATCCGACTAAACGACTGAACACAACAGGATGTGTCCAAGAGACACATGCCTCGTGGGTGGGGTAGGTGTGCCGACGCATCGAAAGTAAACAAGACCACTGGCATTTCCGACACTGTGCTCAGAAAGCGCTTGTCCCTTAGGTGGGGCAAGTGTGCAGAACCACTGGCATTGTCCGAAGTGCAGAAGACCATTGGCATGTGCGCCAAGCTGTGCCTAGAAAGCGCTTGCCTCGTAGGTGGTAGTTGTGCAGGACCGCTTGCATTGCCGCCAGGCTGTGCCCCCGAGAACAGTTCCTCCAACGGAGCGATTGAAGACAAGACCTATGGCATTGCGGCCAGTCTGTGTCCAGTAAGCGCTGGACTCGTAAATGGGGGAAGCGTGCAGGACCGCCAGCATTGCCACCCAGCTATGTCCTGGAGCTTGAAGCATCAGACTAAACGACTGAACACAACAGGATGTGTCCAAGAGACACATGCCTCGTGGGTGGGGTAGGTGTGCCGACGTATCGAAAGTAAACAAGACCACTGGCATTTCCGACACTGTGCTCAGAAAGCGCTTGTCCCTTAGGTGGGGTAAGTGTGCAGAACCACCGGCATTGTCCGAAGTGCAGAAGACCATTGGCATGTGCGCCAAGCTGTGCCTAGAAAGCGCTTGCCTCGTAGGTGGTAGGTGTGCAGGACCGCTGGCATTGCCGCCAGGCTGTGCCCCCGAGAACAGTATCTCCAACGGAGCGAATGAAGACAAGACCCCTGGCACTACCGCCAGTCTGTGTCCAGAAAGCGCTGGACTCGTAAATGGGGGAAGCGTGCAGGACCGCTGGCATTGCCGCCGAGCTATGTCCCAGAGGTTGAAACCTCCGACTAAACGAATGAAAGCAACAGGCTGTGTCCAAGAGACGCATGCCTCGTGGGTGGGGTAGGTGTGCAACACCGCCGGCATTGCCGCCGGGCTGTGTCCCGGAGGCCAGAACCTCCGACGTGTCGAAAGTAAACGAGACCACTGGCATTTCCGCCAGACTGTGCTCAGCAAGCGCTTGCCTCGTAGGTGGGGTAAGTGTACAGGACCACCGGCATTGTCGCCAGGCTGTGTCCCGAAGGGGAGTACCTCCGACGTGTCCAAGACACAAAGAAAAAGCATGACCTCTGGCAATTGCGCCAGGCTGCGTCCAAGAGGCGCCTGCCTCATGGGTGGCGTGGGTGTGCATCTCCAACGAAGCGAATGAAGACAAGACCCTTGGCATTACTGCCAGTCTGTGTCCAGTAAGCGCTGGACTCATAAATGGGGGAAGCGTGCAGGACCGCCGGCATTGCCGCCGAGCTATGTCCAGGAGGTTGAAACCTTCGACTGAACGAATGAAAGCAACAGGCTGTGTCCAAGAGGCGTTGTCGCTGGACTGTGTCCCGGAGGGCAAAACCTCCGACATGTCGAACGTAAATTTTGCCGCTGGCACTGCCGCCAAGGTGTGTCCAAAAAGCACTTGCCTCGTAGGTGGGGCAGGTGTGCAGGAACGCCGGCATTGCCGCCGGGCTGCGTTCCCGAGGGCAGAACCTCCGACTAATCGCATGGAAGCGAAGCCTCGGTCGTAGCCGCCAGTCTTTGCCACGGGGGCGCGTGGTTCGAAGGTGGGGCAGGTGTGCAGGACCTCTGGCAGGAGGAGGAGGAGGAGGAGGAGGAGGGGGAGGAGGAGGAGGAGGAGCAGCGGCAGGAGGAGTAGGGGGAGAGGGAGCAGGAGGAGCACGCGGAAAGGGAGGAGGTGGAGGAGGAGGAGAAGGAGAGGGGGGAGGGGAGGTCTGGCTGCTGCCCTTCCTGTCGCATGCCTTCGCTCCCTGCTCGCGCCTTGGCCAAGAGGGCCTTAGCCCCATGCAGGGCTGACGGAAAAGGGAGAAGTCTGGGGCCTGGTCTTCATCTTCACGAAATGATGAGCAGTTCACTCTGGCTGTGGCCCCCCGCCCTTCACCAAAAAACAGAGAATGTCAAGGGCGGTCAACACCAGGTGGGGTCGCCGCCTCCCATTGGGAAGGGAAGGGGGAGCACCCCCCAGGACCAGAACCCGACCCCGAGAACATGAACTTCCTGCATCCTCGATCGCCCTCCTCCTCCTCCTCCTCATCATCATCATCCTCCTCCTCCTCCTCTTCGTCCTCGTCCTCCCCCTCCTCCTCCTTCTACTCCGTTCCTCCTCCTCGACCCTCGATCCTCGGGAAGAGGTTGCGACCTCGACGCCCCCTGGCACTGCCCAACCAAACTCCCGCCCCCGAAAAAGGGGCCCGCGCCCACCAGGGCCTGCATGACGAGCGGAGGCTCTCCGCCCATGGCAAGCCTGACGGCGCGCACGCGGGAGGCGGCGGAGGATACACAGGTTCCTTCTCCTATAACAATATCCCCGGGAATGCCCCCCCCGCCTCCGTCACCTAACGAGGTTCGGCCCCTTTGCGCGCACCCGGCGCTTTCGACACGGCTCCGAGACGGACACGGTCGTTTCCATGGCCCCCCCGACGGCCAAGACGCCCCAGGCGGTGGCTCCAATACGAGCCAGAAGCTTCCAAAACTGCCCGCGCTGGAGTCAATACAGCGCAGACAGCCCCAAATACAGTTCACGCCGGCCCCAAGAGGACCCCCAAGGGCGCCCCAAACACAACAATCACCCCACTCTCATGTGCAGAAAATCCGCATTCTATCGGAAAACAAACATTTCCAGCAAAATCCGTTTGCCACGAAGCGCCCAACAACCCCCCAAGATCGCCCCCAAGGCGGCCCAAGGAGCCCCCCAAATGCTTCAATAAAGCCCAGAAGCATCCCAAAATGGTCCTAAGGGCTCCCAGGACGAGCCCGAGAAACCCCCAAGATGGCCCCAGCAGAGACCCCCGATGAGGAACTCGGCGGTGTTTCCCGAGCTCTTCACCCGAAGATGGCCCCGATTGGCCCAAGAACTCCCCCAGAGGCCCACGACGGGCCCCCCAAGGCCCCAGGGGACCTTCAAAAAGCTTCCGAGAGGCCTCCAATGGCCCCAGAAACACATTCAAGAACGCCTCACGGACTTCCCAAAATGCCTTCAAGAGTCATCCCACAGCTCTCAAAGGTGGACAAAACCATCGCCAAGAAGCCCAGCCGCCGCTGCGCGGCAGCGCGCGGCCCCCAGCCCAGCCTCCTTCCGCTGCGCGCCAGCCGCGCGCTGTTCCCGGCCCAGCCGCCCCCAAGAGCTACGGAACAGTCCCCGCAGGTGGAAAGTAACCTCGCTCCGAAGGCCAGCGCGACGTGCCAGGCCAAGCGCGCGACGTCGCTTGGACAACCCCCAGAGCATTCGGAGGCCCCCCCGTGGCTCCCCGAAGTTTCGCAAACGGCCCCAGGGGCCTCCAAGACAGCCCAAGAAAGGCCCCAACAGGTGCCCAATACAGGGACTATGCACTGACACTTGGAGCTTCTCCCCCCAATATCACGGTCGACACCACGCAACCGAAAGCCCGCCCACTTCATGCGCGGAAAACGCCCCCCTCACCCTGGAAGTTGCCATTACTTCCGACGCCGCAATCTGACCCAAGCGCCCGTCTTTGAACGCGCGTGCTTGTATACGCGCAACCAGCGTGGCGTTTATCCATGCGCTCCTGTACGATGACCGGTTCGGGGCGCACCGCGCAATGATTCTCAAAGCCCGCTTCTGTAACACAACAAGTTTCGACGACGCCGCGCTGGGGACATTGTGCGTATATATATATATATATATATATACAAATATAAGCATACATACATACACACATACACACATACACACATACCTACATACATACATACATACATACATACATACATACATACATGCATGCATGCATGCATGCATGCATACATACATACATACATACATACATACACGTGCACATTCGTACATGCATACATGCATGCATGCACACATGCGCACATACATACATACATACACACATACATACATACATACTTACATACATGCATACATGCATGCATACATGCATACGCATACATAGCATACATACACATATACATACCGAGACACACATAAGGGTATGTGTATATAAACATATGTGTTTGTGTATACATAGATATGTAAAGTCATACATCGATATGTCTATGTATGCGTATATGTTTACATGCGTACTACCCTGCACGTATTCATACACATATACATATACGTATACAAATACATATACATATACTTGCAAATATAATCACATTGATACCTATACGATCATCCTTGGCCGTTGGAGAACCAACTGATGACAACCATGATGATTGTGATGGCGACGATGCTGGCGATGCGCCCGCGAGATCTTCTGCGAGCGCAGCACCCGCGCCAGTGGGTCAAGGCAATCGAATGGCCGCTTGGCGGGACCTCAGCCCCAGCCCATTACCGAGAACGTGGCGCACTGGCCCGAGCCACCGGCAGCGCCCGACACACTGGCAGAGCCAGGCGCCGCCAGCGCCTGCGCGCGGCTGCTCGCGGCGCCCGCCGCCGCATATGTCGAAGAAACAACGCCCGATCGTTGGCCTAGCCCGGCGCTGCGACCTCCGCGCCCGCCGCCTGCGCGACAGGGCGCGAACGACAGCGCCTATCCCAGCGGCCTCCGCGGCTGCATCGAACGGGTCGGCGCCGGGCAGGTTTCCCCGCGCCCGGGCAGGAGCGCCGGCCCAGTGTACTGGGCGAAGACAGAACCCTGATGGGGACTCCCCAATGAGAGAGGCAATCGCGCGGAGGCACGCGAGCTCAAAACGCCTCTTTTTTCGAGCTGCCCTCGCCGGCGGCCGCCGCCGCTGGCAGAGGAGCGCGGCAAGTCCAAAGCGCACTGCCAGTTGGCAGCGGGAGAGCCCGGCGGCGAAACTTCCTTGCACGCCGACGCGGGCTTCACAGCCGTCGCAACGCAGCGGTCTGGGCGCGCGGGCGCACGGCTGTTCGGCACGGTGCGCCGCCAGATCTGGTTGGCGCGATGCTCCAAGAGGCGCGCATCAACTGCGCCGGCGCCCGCGCGCCCGCCCGATTGAGCGGCGGCGCGGGCGCGCGCGAGCCTGGCGGGCCCAGACCACCTCGGCCGGCAGGGCCTGGCAGAGAAGGAAGAACCGCGCCCGCCGGCAGCAACGAGGCAAGCACCAACGGCACGGCACACCCGCGACGGCGCGCACGCGCTGGCGACTGCGGCGCGGCTGGCGCAGCAACGGCCACGGAGATGCAAGCAGTCGCGGTGGCAACGTCCGTCGCGATTGCGAGATGATCCTCGCGCTGCCACTCGCCCGTCGCAGCTAGTCGCGGCCGCCCAATCGCCCGTCGACCTAGTCGCGCTGCCCGTCGCCCGCCGCGAAGAGTAGCCGACGGCCCCCATGTCACCTGCGATTTCGTCACCACCCCCATCAGGGCCACATGATTGCCGCCACCGCTGTGATGTGATGCTTGGCTGTTGATTGCGATGTTGACTGTTGATTGCGATTGCGCGCGCGATTGTGATGGTGGCGATTTCCTGCGCTCGTGACATTCTCTCCAGGCGAAGTGCAAGCGCCCGTCCGCGACGTTTCCCTCGGCGGCCCGAGCTGGCGGCGGCGCCCGAGGCATCGGCACGGCCAGGCGCAGCGGGCGCCTGCGCGTCGCTGCTGTCGACGTCAAAACTCGGCGCCCAGAGGCGGCAGCGGACTCGGCCCGCTCGCGGCAAGCTCGCGGAGCCACGCAGAGAGCAAAGCAAAGAGACAGAAAAGCCACGCAAAGAAAATACCCAAACTGGACCTGGAGGCGCGTCGGCAAAGCCCGGCGCCGGCACTCGGCACGCCCGAACAACAGAAACGGCGGAGTGCACTCGCGAGAGCCGCGCCCAACTCGCCCCGCGCCACCAACTGGCGGGCGGGGCCGGACACGGCGGCTAGAACGGGGTTTGCGACCACCCAAGAATAAGCAATGCTGGGCTTGCTTCCGTGGATAATATCATTGCGGCGCTACCAAAACAAGGGCCTGGCAGAGTTAAAAGCAGACCGCGCCAATTCTATATAACATATCCGACAAGACATCGCACGCCAACCATTGCCCGGCGAGAAAGGCGCAAAACGTCTTCACTGCACCGAACAACATAACGCGACCCAGCTGAAACACAATCACGCACCCGACTCCTGCACAATTGCACTTGCTCTCGTTGCTGGCCTATCATCCCATCGCGTCATGTCTGGTCATATGTTCATTCTCTCCGGACCGCGCACTACTGCGATATCACCACATCAACATATAGCCCTCATTTTCTGTCGGATCGCGTCCGCCTCGCCCCGCCACCAAGGCGCGCGCCCTCTCCGATCCCCCGCGCGCAAAGCGATCATCCGTCATTTTTCCTCCGCCCCTGATCCTCGCCCTTCGCCCCCCCCCCCCCCCCCCCCCCCCCTCGCCCGCCCCCCCCCCCCCCCCCCCCCCCCCCCCCCCCCCCCCCCCCCCCCCTTTCCGAACACCTGCCCCCTGGTCCGAGGTCCGCGCGGCCAGGGTCGGGCGCGGCGTGTCCTTCGGCGCGGCTGCGTTCGACTCGCGGTCGTCGTCGGCGACGGCCGTCGCGGTCGTCGCCGTCGTCGCCGTCGTCGTCGCTGGGCCGGCGTCGTCGAGTCGCCGCGGCGTCGTCGGAGTCGCCGTCGTCGTCGCGGCCGCCAATCTCGCGGCCCCTCTCGTCGCCGCCTCGCTGGAGCGGGAGGGCGGCGACGAGCGCGGGGGCGAGGCGCGGGCGGGGGGCGACGGGCAGGCAGGGGGGGGGGGCGGGCGGGAGAAGGGGCGCCGCGGAAAGTCCGCAGGCATCGCGCAGCAAGAAAAAAAACGCCTCGCCCCCTCGCCCCCGCCCCCGCCCCCCAGCAGCGCCAGCAGCAAACAAAATCCATTCCGAGACGCATCTCGCGGGCCTATAAGGCAAGTCCCTGCCGACGCGCTCTTCGCCCAGATCCCCCGGCCAATCGGGCCCCCCCAACCAGTCGGATCCCCCGTCGGCGACGGCATTATTCCACGCGCCCACGCAACGCCCGCGCCGGCGCAGGCAAGCGCGCGACAGCACGCGGGCGGCCCCGAGCCCGAGCGCGCAGCCTCTCGAAGCGACAGCGGGGTCGCGCCTCCTCGCAGCCAATGGACGAACCATTCAGCCGCGCCCGGTCGCGCCTCAGGATGATGGCATCCGACGTCAGCCCCTGAACTTGGCCACGCAGGCAACCACGTGGCGCGGCGCTTCTCCCGAGTGCCCTCGCGCGGGTGCTCGTCCAAGCGCCGGGTGTTCTTCTCGACGATGGCCCGCTCGACGTCCAGCGCAGCGTTTGTCGCCGGGCCCCCCGCGCGAAAGTTCAGGCGCAGCAGCTGCCGGACGCGCCCCGCGCGCGTCGGGGGAAATCAACGACGCGGAGTACGAGTCTGAGCACGAGCATCTCAAGACGTTGTACAGATGGGGGATGTGGAAATCCGACGACGAAGGCCATTCGGTTTGCGGTGTGGAGGTCTCTCGCAACGAGGATGGCGGGTTTCGCTTAAGCCGGGGGAAGTGCGCTAAGACGATTCAGCCGACCAAAGTCCAGCGCAACCGAAAGGCATATCCATGTTCCAAGCTGACGAGTGAGGAGATCGCTACCTGCAGGGCCATCTTGGGACAATCGCAGTGGCTTTCTACTCAGACCATGCCCCAGATTGCGGCCAATGCTTCCACGCTGCAGTCCATCGTCAACAGTGCGACGGTGAAGGGCCGAGGACGGATCAACCAACTGGCGCAGACGATTCATGAATTTTCTAGCGCGGGTGTTACGGTGCATCCGTACAAGGATATGGTTTGGGCGCGCGGGTTCGATGCTTCCTGGCGTTCGGGGGCAGACGGCAGTAGCCAGGGAGGCTACGCGATATGCACCACGGAGAAGAAGGCACTGAATGACAAGAAGCATAAATTCACGGCGTTCACTGGAGCTTCGAAGAAGTTAACGAAGAAGTGCCGATCGTCTCTTGGTGCAGAGATCTGGGCGGCCAGCGAGGCTGCCGAGGAACTGGAATATACCCCGCTCGCGTGGATGGAGAGACAGAGTGCCAAGGTGTACCTGAAGGGCGACGAACGCTACCAGTTTATCAGAGACGGTCCGCAAGTCGCGCTGCTCACAGACTGCAAGAGTCTTTACGACGCCGTGACGGGGTCCGAGAGCTCGGCGCTTGGACTCAGCGACGTGCGCCCAGCCATCGAGTGCATGGCATTCAAGCAGGGTATCAACGAGTGTGGCGCGGAGCTCCGATGGGTTCATTCGCATGCGCAGGTGGCAGACGTATGCGCCCATACCAAGTACGAGGCACAGAAGTTGCTCGACGTTTTTATGAGCAGAGGTTTCTGGACGCTGGTGCATGACCCAGAGTTCGAGTCAGCTCGGAAGAGAGGATAGCGTGGTCTCGACATTCTAGAACAGAAAGTCCAGGAATAGATAAGTGATTGAGGCCAGCTTGATTGTCCATTATACATATCGCTCGCTTTCGCGAGATGTGTTGTCAACTTGTTTGTTCATTATACAAATTGCGCTTTCGCGATCGCTGTTTCTTGTGTGCTTGGTCTGTTCTATGCAGCGTTATTTACAGACCAAGTCGCTTCGCGACATCTGTTCTATGCAGCTGTGTTTCCATATCAAGTCGCTGCGCGACATCTGTTCTGCGTAGCTTTATTTATTTATCCAGCCGCTGTGCGACATGTACCACTGCATTTTCATATTACATATCTAGTCGCTGTGCGACGTAGTTTCATATCGGTCGGACCAAAACCCTTTTTCCCCCTGTGTAAATGTGCATGCTGTTGGCCGACCGATGCGAGTGCCCAGGGACCGACGCAAGCGGTACTTGACCGTAGCCATTTTTGCTCAAGGGCGCCCTTGAGCCGGTAGCAAGCTACATATACACACTCAAGTGTGTCTGTGCTCGCAGAGCACTACTGTACAGAGCCCATCAGGGGCTCATCATCCTGAGGAGGATCAACGAGACTGTCGGTGCTGGCCGAGAGAGAAAGGAGAGTATCACGATATCTGTGTTGTGTGTGCCAGAGCTCCCACGAGGACTTCAACGAGGCTTCCGCCAGCGCCGACGATTTAGCCCCCCTCCCTTCTTGCCCGTGCTCGGCTGTTTTTGAGTTCAGGCATTTGGCCAGTGGCCCAGTGGGGTCGGCTGCGAGGGGTCGAAAATGCCTGTCCGCAGACCTTTGTTGTAAAGGAGGCTCGGGGCCCCCAGGCTGCACGCTCAGGAAGCTAGCTTGAGGGCCTGGTGGTCTAGCTTTTTCTCTGAAGAATATTGGGGTGTAAAGCCCCATCCGCTCGGCGCTGTGGTGCAAAAGAGTTGACCCGTATACGTTTGGGCATATCTGGCAAGCCCTCTCGGGCTCAGCTCCGCCTGCCCCCCTCGAAAGTTTTCAACCCCTCCCCAGACCGGCTCAGAACAGAGGGTTATGTGTAAAACGCTGTTGACAATGTCCCGGTCGACGGCGGGGTCATGATCTACCAAGCTGACCTCGGGGCTATCCAGCTTGTTTTAAGACGTCAGTGATCTGTTGGCTCCAACTCTTGGGTCCCTTCATCGTCGCGATTGTCGAGCCGACGTCCTTCGCCATAGCCTCCTTGTACAGCAAGACGCCCACCGAACGCGTGGGCGCGAGAAATCCGCGGGGCCATCCGCGGGCGCAGTGGCGGCGGCGGCAGCCTGTGGAGGGCCGGCAACAGCAATTGGCGCTCGGGCGTGCCCCCGCCCCCTCCCAGCCCCACCACGAGCTCTCAACCCCAGACCCGACTGCCATGTTTCTGCATATTGTCGCGGGCGCACTGGCGGCAGGCAGTAGGACGTGGGCTCGCTTTTGCAATAGATGTCGCGAGCAGCGGGCGCTGGAAGGCCATGGTCCGAAAATAAAGGACATGCGCTACGTAAGCACATTTCCGATGACGGCGGTTGCTGTTGCAGGATTGTGCGTCGTGGCCGAACTGCGCGAGGTCGTACCTTGCGACGGGGTCCATGTCGCTCACGTCATCCCTGGTGATGGTCGTCTCTTGGAACTTGCTCAATTTATCTCCCATGCTGATGAATGTCATGCTCTCCTTCTTGGCTTCAGATTTTGTCATGAGCGTATCCATCTTGTTCACGTACAGCTTGATCGGCTCCTCTGTCATCGTAACTAGATCGAACCTCTCTTTGAACTTACTCTCGAGGATGTTTTCCATGGCGTGGGTGATCCCCTTGATGATGACGGAGCCTGAAGATGCCTCTTCTGGGGTGTTCGGTGCCGCTGGCGAGGAGATCAGACGTACATTCGGGCGGGGTGGGGAGCCGAGGGAGTCGATGTCGCCCGGCCTGTCGCCCATCTCGTGGAGCGGGCTGAACAGTCGTTGGCGAAAACTCGAGAGCTGCACCAACTGGCGTCCCTGGCACTCGCGTGCCCTTGCCAGCCATCGGAAAACAGTGATATACAAACGGAAAATTAGGAATGCTGGACATGCAGCGCCTTGAGCTTTGAGCCACCGCGGCTGGGAGGCTTGAGCCGCAAGTTCGATCCAGAAGACCCTGGAAATACGACGCCCTCGGAAGCATCGAGGGCATCGGCTCCGTAGGGCTCTCGAAGGGGAGGGGGGAGGGAGATGGAAAAGGAGAAGGGGGTCAACGAGGGGGAGGGAAAGCAGTAGGAGGAAGTGGAGGCCAGGCGTCCTCCGTCGTGTTGTTGTTGGGGGGGTCGCAACGTGGCACTCTCCCCTGGACCAGCTTTTCATCCCGAGTCGTGTCTTGACGGTCCCAGGGCCTGGTGAGGGCCGCCAGAAATCGAAAATGCGCAAAAAACCTCCTGCCGTGATATTTTCGCAACCAAATGATGTGAGGCAGCCGGGGCAGCGGAGGAAACAAGATTCTCCCCCTCATGTTCCCGCGCTGCCGCTCCCGCGGCCGTTGCGTTTGCTGACCAGGTGCCGCGCCTCGCCTCGCGCAGGTGGCCCGCAGGCCAGGCATGCCCTCCGCGATCTCGGCCTGGAAGGCGCAGAGCAGGTTGGGCATGGAAGGGTCCGCCTCGAACGCCTTGGCGCGGGATGGCCCTCCCTCACATCCAGGCGATGGAAAAAAACTCGCGACGGCTGGCTTTTAGGATGAAGAGCTGGTCCTGCGTCACGAGCAGACTGCGTCGTCGGAAGAGAAGGCTGAGATCTTCGCGACGTATTTTCGAACTGGGCGTTTGTCACCTGATTGCGGGCCTGCCCCAGGGCCCTCGCGGACGGATCCGGCACGAGAGGTGCCGCAGAAAAATGGGAACGAGGGCTCCGGCCGTGACTTGTTCAGATAGTGTTGCTTGTGTTCGCGACATCGGACCTCGAAGGGGGGAGAAGGGCGGCGGCGGGCAAAGTCGTGCGACGAAGGTCGGCCTCAGAAAGTAATGGCCTGCGTGTGCCGCGGGCGCACAGGACACGGCCCCTCTCTCGTGAGGCGGGCCGGACTACCGCCCCCTACTTTAGAGGAGGGGGCGAGGGAGGGAGGGGGGCAGGGGAGGGAGAGAGAAAGGGAGGGGGGGAGGGGGAGAGGGCAAGGAGGGGAGGGAGGGAAGTAGAGGAGCGAGGCAGGGCCACGAGCACCAGGACCGCCACCGCGACCACCACCAGCACGCCCACCACTGGCACGAACACCGCCGGCACGTACACCAGCCGTCCTTCTAGCACTTGTGGCAAGAACTTCATGAGTTTCATCGCGTTCGCAGCTTATTGGGAGGGAAGTTTTTGCTCCCGCACAACTTCTGGGCGTCACAGCCCCGAGCGACAAGCAAATCAGGATGGATCACCTATCAGGCGGGTCCGACGACCACGACGCGCTCGAGGTACTCGGCGGCCACGTGCGAGCTGGCGCTCCGCATCCTCGGTCGGGGACTTCGTGGTGAAGCAGGCATCCTCCACCCACTCGGCATTGAGTGGCAGCATGAAGATATTCTCTTGGGACCACTCCAAAATTAGGGCGTTCCACCAATCAGCGAGCCGGCACGACCACCTCTGCGACCACTACCACGACCACCACCACAACCACCAGCGTGACCACTACAACCGCCCCCGCCCCTGGCCACTGTTTCCTCTCCCTCCACTTCCCTGCCGGGCCGCCCCTGCTGCAGGGATCGCCTCGCGCCTGTCCCCCTCCTTGCGACCCCCCCCTCCTCCCCTAGCTGGTCAGCTGTCAATCCGCCGGCCCAACGGGCCAAAACGTGCTAGACTCCTCGGCCAGAGGTTTACAACATGTTGAAATAGTTTGTTTCTTTGCGCGCGCGCGCGCGCGGGGTGGCCCCTGGGGTCCCCAGACGAAAGTACCCCGGCCCATTTCGGCCACGGATGCAGAAGCTCCCAGGGGCGGCCTTCCGGCCTACGAGATTGCCCCAGGAGCGCCCCAGGGTACCCCAAGGGAGCTTCCACGGGGCCCAAGGGCCGAGGGGAATGGCTGGGACGCTCCAAGATGGCCCGAAGACAGACTCCAGAGTGCTTCAGGATAGCACCGAGATGGTCCCAGACAGCCTCAGAAAAGCACGCTTAGGCTCAATGCCACTGAGTGCTCTTAAACTGTTCCCAAATAACATTTCTCTCAAGGTTCTAGCAGAAGTAAGAGAGGACAACAGAAGAGTCTGGGGAGACAGATCTGGTCCAAGTGAGCTCCGCGCACTTGGCGGAGATAGCCGACCCGCACAACCACGTAGGGCACAGGCGACCCACGTATAGCCAAGGCCAAGCCAAATAGATCCCACCGTAGTATCCACCCAAAAACTCCGTAATTATCCTCTTGACAACCTCTGCGGTGATCTCAGCAGAAGCCCTCCTCAGTGAAGGGAACCCAAATCACTCGCGACCAGAAATCGTCGGTAACAGCTTTCGGTCGCGTCCAACGACATTTGCGGCCGGACGGGTTCGAATTTCGGTAACGAAGAGACGGCGCGTCGCCCCCCCCCCGGCTGTGACGCGGCGGGCCGCTCAGGGGGCCTCCTTTCCTAGGGTTTCCGGTGGCTCTCAGAAGGGTTGCGGGATGCCTCCAGAAGCAGGTTTTCGGATGATCGCTGAGGTTTTCGGAGGGTCCTGAGGTTTCTGGAAGATTTCCAGAAGGCTCCCTAGGTTCCTTCGGTGTCCAGCAGGTTCTCGGAAGATCTTCGGCTTTCGGAGGGTATTCGGCACACTGTCGTAAAGTTAGCGGGAGGTTTCGGGAACTTCTCGGAAGTTCTCGGGACCTGGGACGGCTCCCGTCCACTGCGCCTTGTCGCGGGCGCTCTGGGGATGCCGGGGCCGAGAGTAACGCCCGAGAACCATCGGAGGAGAGCCAGTCGAGGCGGCCGCGACCCTCCCCAGGCGTTCTTCGTCCTTTCTAGGCCTCCCGAAGCTTCTCGTCGCCACGGCTGGATCCGCCTCGCAGAACTGGCAACCTTAGGAGGGGTCCAGGGACCGATTCTCAGCGGATCTGGGCCGGGCGGGAGAGGCGTCGTTGTCTCAACTCGCCCTCCTCTGGCAAAAAGTGCCCCTCGCCAGGGCGTCCCCAGCTGTTCGCCCCATTCTGGAACTCCCCTGGGGCCGTCCTGGACCTCGTGATGAGATGTTCCTGGAAGCACACGGGGGGAGGGGTCCTGCCATCCTGCTGCCGGGCATGCGAGAATCTGCTGCTGCTTTTGTTCGCTGCTGCCCAGCTGCTGCTTGGTCGTGTGCTGCCGTCTTCTTCCTGTGTCCCGCCACAGCGCTCGGCAACCTCACGGCACTCGACATCCACACGACACGCGGATGCCGAGCCGTGGCAAAGAGTAGGTGCGGGGCAGGCGTCCACGTCTGTGGACCCTTAGGAGGCAACTCCTGGGAGGTCTTCGCGTGAACGATGAAGAGTGATTAAGCCCGATTGAGGAGCCATTAGATCAAACTATAAGGAATTCGGTCCAGGATGAAACGGGAGTAGCCTGGATTGCGCGGGGGCAAGCCATATTAAGCGGGATTATGCAAAAATGGATCCGATTTCGACCACGGATATACCAGCGCTGGTACTGAATGTAACACCTCCGGAAATCCATCCTAAGGACCCTTACCCTTGCAAATCAAGCTTCTGAAGCACTGACAGGGGCTCAGAATCTGAAAGATGTCTGCAGTCGGGTGGGTCCCCACAGGGTGTCCGATACCCCACCGTCGAATCGACCCACACAGGAAGGGTTGGCAGATAGTCACGGAACAGTGCAGCGGGAGCAGGAGAGGGGGGGGGGAGGGGGGGCAGGAGTCGGGTGCTGCCAGAGGTGTCCCTGGCTCCAGGTGTCCCCAGCTTTTCCAGGAAGGCCCAGGGAGCACCCCCACTAGGCCCAGACGGCCCCAGGGGGCCCCAAAATGGGGCGAAAAGCTGGGGACAGCTTGGGCTGGGGACAGAAAGAGGGCTAGTTGAGACAAAGACGGCTCTCCCGACCAGCCCAGGTTCACTGTCCCAGGAGTGGTCAGAGGTCCATCGAGACCGATTTTTCTAGGCGGACACAGCCTTGGCAACGAAAAATCTCCAGGAGGGGTATCGACCTCTAGCCGTGCCGACGAGAAGCCGCGGATCCAGCTGTGGGCTACCTTTGGCAGCAGCCTCCGAATGAGGGAGAGGCGCAGAAGGAGGAGCGATCCCCAAGCGCCCCCCATGCGGCTGCGCTGGCGCCTTGGTCATGGGCTCCAGCAGCGCACCCTGCAGGATACAGCCAGCGCGGAAGGTGCTGATGATCCGCGGCAGGTTCTCGGTGATGCCCATCCTGGCGGTGAGGGTCGGATTAATGAGCGGCCCTGGGGACTGCGAATGGGTACGTGGTCCCCCCCCAGAAGGTGCGTTCGTTCATAAAGTTTGAGGCGGGTACACGGGAGAGACAAAAATCCGCCGATCCAAGGTTGCCGGGGGTGTGAAGGCGTGTGAGGTGCTTGGCTATGTGGCTGTCCCCCTACCCTCTCCCCCCTTCCCGAGGCCCTCGGACCCAAGCCGAAAACGGCCCCTGCAGCTCCTACCTGGCTCAACTTGGCAACTTCCAGTGACTCCTCCACCCTTCGCGGGGTATGCAAATTGGCGCAAGCCTCTTGAACACATTGAAGTCAAAGCAACTTGTTACATAACATGTTCGTAAGATGACCGTTGTCAAGCGTTTACTAACAGGGGAAATCAACGCGGGGAGAAGAAACGCTCACCTTTCCTGCATCTGTTGGGCCAGAGGTTGCTATTTTGCGCTGTTCAAGGCCCCTGTGGGGTCACTTTCATGCCATTATATCCCCCCGTCCTCTTTATTGACCCCCCTCTACTGAGCGCTCGATGTTGTTGGGAGTTGTAGTTTTGGTGCCAAGCCCTGTGGCGCTTGAGCGCGAGCCTCGCTATGTGGCTGGCGCCGAGGCGAAAGAGCAAACGCGCATGACAAGGGTCCAACAGCGATCACAGCGTCGCAATGAACAACTCAACAAGGTCGAAGTGAAACTCCCACAACGACCCAACGATACACCTGCTAAGACCTGGTATGCGCATGCTAGAAGCCACTATTCACAAGACGCCTATTATGCAGATGCTCAACTCACTACCGAATCAACTCAACCCCGACTGGGGCCCTACTCAACTCTCTGGGCGCCGCATTCCTCATTCTAATCCCCATTCTTCATCTTCCCCCCCTCCCCATTCCTCATCCACTGCTCCTCCTCCTTCCACTGCCCCTCCCCTCCTACCCATCTTGTCCTCCTCCTCCTCCTCCTCCGCCGCCTCCTCCGCCTCCTCCCGTTCGTGCTATGAGTTCCAGGGCTCCCAGGGGGGACGGCCCGACATTAATCCCCTGAGGCGTTCCTCGCAACGGCTTCCTATGCAGCTTCATAAAGAAGCATCCCAAGTCCATTGAGGTTACCACGCGCACAGAACACACGTACGATAAGAAACCACGGCGGAACTTGCTGCAGGAAGCTGGATCCGCTGCCCTCTGCTGGCTTGCCCCAGGTGTACACGACGTGCCAGATGTTAGGTTGTTTCGGTCCTTGCTACAGGCTCCCGGAGGGCTCTCGGCCTGATGCGCCGGCCGCGCGTAGAAGGGGCCTCCCATCGGCTTCCCGCCCCATCAGGACCCGTAAACTTCCCAGCTCGTCGGTCTTGAGATGGTTTCCAAGACGGCCACAATGGCCCGACGGCCCAAGATGGCCCCAAGATGTCTCCAAGACGGGCCGAGATGCCCCCAAGATCCAAGATGGCCTCAAGATCGCCGAAGGCGGCCCAAAAGGCCTCCAAGACGACGCAAGAGATCTCCAAGAGGGTCTCCAGGTAGGCCCGAAGAGGGTAAACTCATGTACCTCCACACGGTTCTTAAAGGATTCCAGCCTTTGCTCATTTTCGGCTTTCCGACGGTACCATGCGGCCCAAGCGCCCAGATGGCCTCCGAGATGGCCCCGAAAGAGCTCCAAGACGGCCCAGGAGACGTTCAAGACGCACAAAATGGCCTCCTAGACGGCCCTGAAGCGCCCCAAGTCACCCCAACCAAACAGGCCCCCAAGACGGCTTCCAACGGCATCTGACGGCCAGGCACGCCCTCAGACGGCCAAAGAGCCTCCTGAGGAGCCTACAAAGGCCCCCAACAAGCCCAAAGAAGCCCCCAAGAGGCCTCCAAGAGACCCCCAGGAAACCCCAAATAGACCGCAAGAGTGCCCCAAGAGTCTCCTCTTCCGCCTCCTCCTCCTCCTCCTCCTTTTTCCTCCGTCTCAACCTCTTCTTTCTCCCACACGTGTTTCCCCGAAGGGTTTTCACAACGGCTGGAGAGAACACGCAGTCCGATAGCTTGGCCGAGTTCTGGACGCAATGTTCGGCCACACAGGCGCTGTAAAAAGGCAGGGGGTGAATGTGGTTCGCCGCAGGCGTCTCCCATCACATCAGATTTGGGGCGACAGCCTCGACATGTAGGACGAAGAGAGTAGCTGATCCCAAAAAATTGAACCGACTAGATGGGCGCGGGAGTACGCGCTGGCAATGAATATCCCGAATACCAGAGGCACCTGCCTGGTGATATGCGCCCAACCAGTCCAACAGCTGGTGACGCGTCCTGCATTCTCCGAATGCAAACCGCAATTGCACAGGCAACGTATCCGCCACCGTGCCTCTTAGCACGCTGGGGCGTGGAAGCATGCCGAGGGCTATTTGGTTGGGTTTGGGTTTCTGCCAACCAGGGGGCCCTTCTCCCTGAACCCGCGGAGTGTTGCGTTCATCCCCCCTACTCACCGAAGCCATTTCCCTCGTGCCCGCTCGAGGACAATGCACATCCAGCATGTCAGCGTATGCATAATCCCCCATTCCACGCGTGCTTTTTCGAGGATGTTGCATGTCCCGCATGGCAGCCAAAGCCTCAGCCATCATGACATGCGCGCCAGCTCGAGGATTGTGCACTTCCCGCATGGCAGCTAAGGCCGGATCCCCCACTCCACACATGCCAACTCGAAGATGGCGCGCTTGCCGCATGGCAGCTCATGCCTGAACTGTCATTCCATGCGCGCCCGCTCGAGGATTGCGCTCTTCCCGCATGGCTGCTACCTTCGAGACATCTCGTCCCACACGCGCTCGCTCGAGGATCGTGCAAGCCCCGCCTTTTTCAAGCGCTGCTCCCAAGCGCCCCAGGACCTCCCAAGCCACGATCCCTCTTTGAAAACTATGCATACGCGCCCCGAGTTCCCAAGACGGCCTGCGCAGGCAAACAATGACGCCACATTGGCTCCATTTGCCTCGAAGACGACCCGAAATGGCCCCAAGACGGCGAAAGATTGCTACAAGACGGCCCACGGCGCCTCCAAGAAGGCCCAACAGTGCTTGAAAAGGACCTCCGACAGGGCCCGAAGAAACCAAAGCACGTATTCCCCGTGGGTTTCTGAGCGGTTATCGCACTTTCGCGGCCGTCAGCTCAACACGGCCCAAGAAGACTCCACGATGGCCCAAGAAGCACCCAAGACGGCCCCAAGACGGCTCAAGGAAACCGTCCGTGGGACCCAAGATGACCTTTGAGGGCCCTTCGACGGCCCAAGACGGCACCCAGACGGACGGCCTCACGACGACCCCCAGACACCCACCATACGGCCAACAGGACCCCAAGACTGCCCAAGAGAGCGCCAAGCAAGCGTAAGAGTGCCCCGATACGGCCCAATAGGGCCCCAAGGAACCCCCAAGACTGCCTCACAGAAGGCCAAAAGAGGCCCAAGACGGCTCAAACGATATGCATCTCCATCGCCACCATCATCACCAAAATCAGCATCACCAGCACCATCATCACCATCAGCATCATAACCGTCTTCCCCCTTCATCATAACTACCATCATCATCAATCACCATCCATCATAACCATAATCAGCATCATGGTCGTCACCACCATCATCATCATCATCATCACCACCATCATCATCATCATCATCATTATCATCATCACCGTCTCTAACTCTATAATCGCCGTGCCTCGTCCTCTCCTCGGGCCCGCACTGCCTGGCTGGAGTTGCTCTCCGGTCACCGGTGGCCGTCACACCCGCGCGGCGGGGCGCAGACACAACAGGGTGTGTCAGACATCGGGCAACCGGTGCGGCTGCACCGCGCGGTTGCGGCTCCCCGCGAGGAGCCCAACAACGTGATGATTAACCTGGTCTTCAATATTTCTGCAGTACGCAACAGGTAATCATCAGCTTCCTCCTTGAGGTACCTGCAGCAGTGTGCAACGTCCAAGGTGCGATTCACTTGTCGTATTTTTGTTTGTCCCGGCTCTTTCTTCCACGAGGGAGAAGCCACCTCTGCTGGATTTGTGTTTCGCTGGCCGTCGGCCGTACGCGGAGTCTCCCCGCATCACACTGTGCAGGATGGTGCCGCAATCGTCAGGGGAACGACCATCTTCCCGTCGGGCCGACTGGGGGGGGGCAAGGTGTACGGCATGCCCCTGGCCGCCGCACGCGACGCGACGTTCAACGCGGGTCCAGCAGCGTTACGAGATAACCCTCGTGGTTCCTTGCCGCGCAGTCTCGCGCTTCCTTCTGGCTACCAGCAAAAGTATTCTGGAGTTTCTGATGTCAGGGACGCCCTGCTCCTGCTCCCGTGACATGCTCTTCTGCACGAAGCGTTCCCTGGTGTATTCGTGGGCAGGGTCATCGTGCAGCGTTTCCACGGCGGCATCCTTTATGAAAACGATCGCGGAGGCCTTCTCCGCGATGGTGCTCGTGGAGGTGAAAGTATTATTGATCGTATTATTAACAGTCCTTGTCTTCATATTACTTATGTTCCCAACCTTGTTCTTAGTCTGATTATTCTTATTTGCCACGATGGTGTTCATAGAGGCCTCTTCAGAAGGTGCTCTTGGAGGTCTTCGCCATCAGGGTGCTCGCGGAGGCCTTCTCAGGGAGGGTGCTCGTTGAGGTTCTCGTCGCGCTGATGCTCGCAGAGGCCTTCTTCGGAGGGTGATCGCAGAGGTTCTCTACATGGGCGTCCTCGTGGAGGCCTTCTCTGGAAGGATAATCGTGGAGGTCTTCTTCACTCCCGCGTTCGTTGAGGCTTTCTTCAAAGGGTACTCTCGGAGGTATGACTCCTGAAAGTGTTCGCGGAGGTCTTCTTCAGGAGGGAGTTCGTTTTTCTTGGTGCTGGTGCTCGCGACGGCCTTCTTAGGATCGCCACACAGAGGTCATCTTCATGAAGAGGTCTTTTACGGGAGGATGCTCGCAGAGATGTTCTTCACTCGCATTCGCAGAGGCCTTCTTCGGACGGTGCTCGATGTGCGGAATGTTCGTGGAGGCATTCTTCATCAAAGTGCTTGTGGAGGCCTTTTCTGGGAGGTTGTTCGCGGATGTCTTCTTCGCGCTGGCGTTCGTGGAGGCCGCCTCCAGGAGGATGCTCGCGGAAGTCTGTTTCGTGCTGGTGCCCGTGGAATTATACTTTGTGGTGTTCGTGGTGGTCGTCGTCGGTACGGTTGGCTTCTTGGTGGTCCTCTCGCTGGTGCTGGAGTCCCTCCTTCGCTGGGTGATAACGCTCTGTGGGTCATGATCTGGAGTCGCCGTGCCTCTTCCACTCCTCAGTCCCGTACTGCCCGGCTGGGGTCGCTCTCTGGTCATCGGTGGCCGGCACACCCGTGCGGCGGGGTGCAAACACAACAGGGTGTCGGACCATCGGGCAACCGTTGCGGCTGCACCGCGCGGTTGCGGTTCTCCGCCATAATACAACAAAATGCTGGTTCTCCTGATCTCCCAAATTCCTGCAATACGCGACCGATGACCATCATCATCATCATCATCATCATCATCATCATCATCATCATCATCATCATCATCATCATCATCATCATCATCATCATCATCACCGTCATCATAATAATCATCATCATTAGTGTCATCATTATCATCGTCATCATCATCATAATACTACTTATAACAGTCATCATCATAATACCCATCAGCATCATCATCATCTTCATCATCATCATCATCATCATACTCCTCCTCTTCATCATCAGCATTATCATCATCACCAGCAGCAGCATCAGCAGCAGCATCCTCATCATTATCAGAATTATCATCCTCATCATCGTCATCACCAGCATCATCATCATCAGCATCATCCTCATTATTATCAACATCAGCATCATCATCATCATCATCAGTACCACCATCGTCATCATCAGCAGCATCATGAGCGGTATCATCATCAGCAGCACCATCATCATCATCATCCCCATTACCAGCATCATCAGCATCACCATCAGCATCATCATCGCCATCGCATTCATCATCGTCATCGTCAACATCATCAGTAGCACTGTGGTCATTATCATCATCAGCATCATCACCATCATTAACTTCATCAGCATCGTCATCGCCATCATCAGCATCATTATCGTCATCAGCAGCATCAGCAGCATCATCACTATCATCGTCAGAGTCATCATCAGCATCGTCATCATGATCATCAGCATCATCACCGTCATCGTTGTCGCCATCATCAGTATAATCATCCCCATACTCGACGTCGTCGTCATCGTCATCGTCGACGTCGTCTTTGCCATCGTCATCATCATGGGCATAATGGTCATAGGCCTTCTCATCGTATCATCATCCTTACCCTCGTAATCATCAGCATCAGCATCATCGTCATCATCAGGATCACCAGTACCATCAGCATCATCACCAACAGCATATCAGCATTGTTATGACTATCATCTTCTTGATCATCACCATCACCACCACCATCACAATCACAATCACCATCACCAACATGCTTATCATCATCAGCATCATAATCCTCATCATCGTCAGCATCATCATCATCATCATCATCCTCATCCTCATCATCATCATCGTTGTCGTCGTTACCACCACCACCATCAGTATCATCATCATCATCATCATCATCATCATCATCATCATCATCATCATCATCATTATCATCATCATAATCATCATCATAATTGTCAACACCATCAGCAACAGCATCATCATCATCATCACCATCACCACCACCAACACCATCATCATCACAATCACCATCACCACCATCATCAGCAGCAGCATCACCATCAGCATCAGCATCACCATCATCCTCATCACCACCATCATCCTCATCACGGCTCTCCCAAGCCTGGAGACACGAGGAGCCACAAGTGACGGCCTCCCGTGCCCCCTCGAAGAGTCGCCAACCAGCAAGCTGGTCCGTGACGGTGGCGGGACTTGCCACAGGCAGCTGGATATGTAAACTCCTCGAATCACTAAGCTTGCCTTGGGCCAGAACGGCCACGGGACCCGAAAAGGCAAACGCTTCAGGGGCAGGGCGGGCTATCGGGCCCCTGTCGGCGATGAATTAGCGACTGAGGGTCGAGATGCGTTCCCCCAGAGCCTTGAGCCTGTCCCCCCTATCTTTGCCCCTGCCGAGCACGGGCGGGCAAGCTCCTCTGGCAGGGCGACGGCTCCACGGGGTGGTATCCGAGCCCAGCCGATCAGCGGATAAGACTGATCGGCTGATCGGATTCTCAACCGCTGATCGGCTGATCGGCCACTGATCGGCTGCTCGGCCGAAGATCAGCTGATCCAAGACGGCAACCGCTGCCCTCAAGACAGGCCAAGACGGATCGAAAAGAGCTCCAAGAGGGCGAGCCCAAAACGAGCTTTGCCTCGCACGATAGCCCCTGAGACAGCCAGCAGGCTCTCAAGAGGCCCCCCAAAGGGGCTATGAGCTATGAGTCCCCCTAGAGGCCGCCAAGAGAACCCAAGAGACAGGCATTTGAAGAGATCCACGACGATTCCAAGAGTTTCGATGTAAAGGCACAGGCGAAGCATGTTCTCCCTGCCCTGTCTTTCCTCGTATGTTCCGTGCGCTCCACAGCAAGGCGACGGTGCAGTATGCGAAAAAAGACTCGAAGATGATGGGGAATGACGATGTGGAAGATGGGACGGAGCACGATGAGGCGGATGGGAAAGTGTACGAGGAGAAGGGTGGCGATGAGGAGAATGAGCAGGAGGACGAGGAAACATATGACTGGAATGAGTTTCGGTAGAAACATGTAAATTAAGAGAAAGGAGGAGAAGGAGGAGGAGGAGAAGGACCAACATGGAGGAGGGGGGGAGGAATGAACGGGAGAGAGGCTGGAGGGGGTCATCGGGAGGAAAAAGATGAGGAGAGTAAGGATGTTCAGGATAACAACGACGCCCCGCGCCAGGAGAGGCCCAGGGAGCGTCGGAAGCACGGCGATGAACGCGGCAACTCCGTTGGCCGCTGGCGCCGCTCCGGAAAACCCTGAATCAGCCCAGGCATGCTGTCTTTCCGCGGCGGGGTACATCTTTTACTTCCGCCGCCCTTCGCCAGCCCTGCGCCGCCTTTCTCGGAGGGAGAGACGGCGACGCTTCGGCCCCTCGAGGGCGAGGCCATGTCTGGAACGCCCCATTCGGTGAGACTTCGTGGGGGAGGGCCCCGGAAGAGGGGGAACTGGCTATCGCTCTCTCTAACTGCGGCTGACGCCATGCTTTCCTACACGGCTGGGCCTCGGGGGCGGGGGGGAACATCTTATCCGCACCCCCTCGGCTTGCGAACCTCTGACGCGCCACATACACGCAAGGAGGGGGCAGGAGAAGAATAAGGAGCAGAAAGTTGATCTCATCACCCTTCCCCTCTCCCTCTCCCCCCTCCCTCCCCCCATCACTCCCCCGCCCCGTCTGGCCGCTGCCATGTAAAAACCATCCTTTGCGCAAGCACAGGTGAGTAATCAGGTAGGCCAAAGCGAAGGCGTGCTCTTGCGCTGCACTGGTGTCACCGAAGCGGCTTTGGTAGCAAGCAGATTTGAAGAAACGCCCTCCTGAATTCCTTATCCACTGAACGTATGGCCTGAAACATCTGGCAGTACGACGCGATGATGCTAAGGTACGTCGCCCAATATAGCTCCTGAGCAACAGAGAAGGGGAAGGCGGGCCGGGAGGAGGACGGGGAGGAGGGGGAGGATGCGGAGAAGGAGGGGAGGGGTGGCCGATGACAAGGAGGAGGAGGCTGAGCGCCCCCAAGAAAGCCCCATCCACAGTCATCGACGAGCCCCCGCACTTTGCAGGAGGTCAGCTGCGAGACGCGCAGCGCGGGCGAAATCCGCCGCCTCGGAGTCCGAGGGCGCTCATCCACCTAACCCTTTCCATTTGTTGTGGAGATGGCGATGGAAGTGAATAAAGGATACCAGCAAACTGCAGCCGAGAAAGGAAGCAGGGACAGAGTGCTAATGATTGGAGTATTGACGACGGCAATGGCGTGCCAGCAGCCAGGGCCACCCAGGTAAGGAAGCAAGGGCACCTCGCGTATTGAGCGAGAGAGTCTGGAGCATCACCTCCCAAGATGCATCGAGGGTCATGGTTGCGAAGACGGGTGTCGCACACCCACCCGCCCCTCCAGCTGCGAACGGCTGCCATCCTCCACGAGAGGGGGGAAACGCTGAGCATCACCCGAACATCAACCAGCCCACGCGCTACACCTCTTCCAACCCCAGGTTAAACCAGCGGCCAAACCACGCCTAGAAGAGGGCGCCTTCAGAGAAGTACACAGTCAACCCGTATAATAAGGACGCGCGGTAAGGAAGCAAGAGCCTTGGGAGGCCACGCCGACACCTTTCGAGCGGGGCGCGGCCAGCGGAAGCGGCCAAGGATGGGCCGAAGGGGAAGGATGCAACGGTAACCTTGGAAACTTGTTCATCCTTACTATGCGGGTTGACTGTAGAGCAGGGGTGGTGCCGCGCTGAAGGGTCCGCTGCGTCTTGGTGCGGGGGTGCGTGAAGCCACACGAAGGCCCTTGGACCCGGGGACAGGGGCCCCGGGAACCAGAGGGCAACCCCTGAGGTCCAAAGCGGGCCAGAGGGGGCAGGAGGCGGGCGGCCAGGAGGAGGACGAGGAGGAGGAGGAGGAGGAGGAGGAGGAGGAGGAGGAAAAGTGCACGCAACCATGGCGGGCGTGTTCGTGCGAATATATGGATGAAGCTGCAAGCGCTGGCGCACGAACCTGGTGAACCTGGCCAGGCGATGCGCGCGTCTGCCTGACGAGATGGGGCCAAAGTTCATGGTACATGCCGTCTCGAAAACAATGCGGTGTATACGCAAGCGTCCGTTGTCCAACCCCTCGTAGTCAGACTCACCCTCCCGAGCCACTGGGAACCAACGGGGGCTCGGGGGAAGGAGCGCGGGTTGGAGACCGGCCGCGCACCACAACACTGGGCACAGGATATCGTGTGCAATAGGGTCAAGGCTGGAACAAGCGAAGCGACACGAGGGTTGCTTCAAGATCTTGACCTTTCCACTGGTGACCCACGCACCGGCAAGGGTGTTGATGCGGGGCCAGGCGCGAAAGGGGACCTGACGAGAAAGGATGCTACGCAAGCGCCTCAATTTGGAGCTCATTTCATTGGGGGGGAGGTCGAGGTCGGGTAACCGGGAGAAGAGGCGACGAGTTATAAGGGCGGGCGTACCGTCTGTGTCAGCCTGGGATTGGAAACAGACTATAAGTGAAACTGGAACTGCAGCTGCTTCAGCCTGCTCACGCGCTCGCTGCATAATGAAAACGGGAATGGGTGGGCGGGTCAAGGGTCCGAGGAAAGGGAGCTCAGAGGACGTGGTCAAGAAGGCGGCGAAACGCTGAGCAATTGAAGTCTGGACGCGCCAGCAACGCGCGCACCACCTCCTGAACGCCGCAAAACGGAGAGGGCATGCCGCGAAGTCTCGGGAGCGCAATCGCTCGAGAGCTCGCCCCCAAGATCAGAAGGCGCGGCAACATGCGCGCCTTATTGAGGACACGCCAGCGGCTTTCAAGGGTTCGGACCACGAAGCCAGCGGGGACTGCGAAGCTCGCAGAGTCGGAAGCTGGAAAAGGGGACGCGGAGCAGCTCACGCGGCGCGCGCGACTCACGCCGCAGAAATTCCTCGCGAAAAAAGAAATCAAGTGCGCAACATAAGACAGGCAGGGATATGATGTCACAGCCGCGTCGGTCGGAACGCGTCGCTGCCGCCAGTCTCGAAAGTGACCACCATTCTTGGCCACCTGAAGCAAACTGGTGCGAAAGGTTAGCCCCTGGGCCGAAGTGGATTCCGACGCGCCGGCAGAAGCTGCGCGCGACGAAAATTCGCTCAGAGACGGGGGCAGCAACGGCCTCGCGACGTCGCCCACAAGGATGTCCAAGAGCAGAACCAGGCAGCATTCTCGGGCTGGAGGCCCAGGCAGGCCAGCGCGGACGCGGCGTGGAACGGCGGGCGAAGGAGAGGAAGAGCGGCCGGGGAAGACTGCTCCAACGTCGCCAGCGCATGCACCGGCAGCGAGCTCGCGGGGGCGAGAGGGAGAGACTACCACCTTGCAAGCGTTCTTCCATCGAGCGCGGCGCTGGCCTCGGGAGCGCGAGGCGCTCGCGCGACGCGAGCGGGGCCGCGTCGATGCGGCCGCGGAAGGATCCGTTCCAAGGGCCCAGAGTGCGCCACTTAGTTGGCGCCCATGGGGGGCACCGCGGGCCAGTTCGAGAAGCCTGCGGCGTTCAGAACCCATATCCACGAGTCCGACGGCGTCGGCTGAGAGGGCCAGCATTGCATTTATCATTGGGGAATGCTGATACGTTTCCAGACATCTTGTAACCATTGCTGATATATGCTAGTGAACGCGGCTCGAGTATAACAGTGGATAGAGCACGCGCGCCGATCCGCAGCGTCATCACCTATGCCACGCTGACGGGCTTCAGCTTCCAGGCCAATGCTGTTCGCGCCAAGGCGACGGCCCCTGCGAACCCCTGCTGGATGCTATGAACCCGATTCTCGGCGACAGCTGAAGATTGACCGCCTGTGCGAGGGCCTTGCTGTCCGGTTCTCTGTTCTTTCCTCAGGCCTGCGACGGGGCCCTCGCCAGTGAGCGGCCACCGAAGGACTTCGCGCAGGATCTCGCTTGGCCGATGGGGGCCAGGGGAGATGGCCCCGCCGCCGCGCTGCAGGGCTCGCGAGATCCTGGTCCGAGGGGAGAGGCGAGTCAGAGAATGGAGAGACGGGCAACCGGGAATCTAAATATTCCTGGGTGGCATGTTCAAAGCAGGGCGCGGTCTCGAACGTCGGGCGCCAAGACTCGGCGACGGCCGCCGCCGCGCCCCCAGGTCCACGCAGCGCGACACCATGTCCAGGCTGGCTATGCTTGAGTCCATTAAGAATGAGCCTTCTCCCCGCTGGGTCCCATGCCATTGCCTGCCGCGTAAAGGTCTCCTGCAGCGCCGCGGCCTCTGTGGATCCCGCCGGAGAGTCGCCGCCCCGGGCAGCCTGTCGGCGACGATGAGCGCGCCGCTCGCACCTCGAGCCGCCCCCCCAAAGCGCCGCTGGCACGCGGGCGCGGTAGAGCCGACGCAGCCCTCGGAGTCGCCGACGCCCGCCCCCTTCAGCGATCCCCAGACAACGCCTGCCAAGGTAAGCGGTGCTCACGGGCCGTTGAGCGAGGCGGCGCCCCTGTCGCCGCACCGCGCGGCGCGCAATGTCACGCTGTTCACCTCCGCCACGCCGGCCTTCTCTTGATCGCGAAGCCCTCGTTGTAGCCGATTGCGAGCGACGCGGGCGGCCATCGCCATCAGCTCCTCGATTCTGATCCAGTTCTCATTGCTGTCATAGCTGTCGAGGCTGCGCGCCTCCACGCAGCTCTGCAATATGTCGCTCCACCTCCGTGCCTGAACGCGAAGTATGGGGGGCCCCCGCGGTCGACGGCGTCGGACCATCGCGGGGCAAGCCGCGTCGCGAGAACATCAGGGCCGGATTGAGCCGGGCCCGATTGCCTCTAAGCTTCTTGGATGACGTCGACGCCGCAGTCGCGTTCAATGGCGAAATGCGCGCCTGGCGATCCGACAGCACGAAGGACGTCGCCCAAGGCCTCAACGGCGCGAGAGTCGCGCGCGGGCAGGGGGCCCTCAAGCTCGAGCATGCCACGCTGAGTGAGACCCCGCAACAAAAAAAGTTCAGATTGCGAGGCCCGCCCATCTTGGCCGAGCCGAGCTCGCCGCCACCCACGAGAGGGAAGAGACTGATTCGTCGCGCCGCACCACCTGAAATCACCGGCGCCGATAGCGAGTCTAGAGCGCTCGTCGACTTGAGCCCATGTGACATTCTGAGCCCACCGCCGTCGGATACCAGGCCGAGCTCTGCGTGGGATGTTGCAATTGCGCAAATTGAGGGCCCGCGCCCCCTTGCCCGAACCGGGGTTCAGCGCGCCGAGGCGCCGGGCGCGGCTAGGAAGATGCACGCGGCGACACCGCCGATGGAGACGACGGACAGGAAGATGCGCAAGCGCGTCATCGCCATGCCAAAGAAGGAGGGTCGCGAACCCACCATGACGTGATTGAGTAGCATCAGGGCTGGACTCATCATCAAGCCCCCGCCCCGCTCAACAGCGAGAGCTGAGAAGAAGAGCCGAGACTGGAAAGTGAACTGATTGATGCGCGCGCGGCACGTTAGTTGATTGCCCTGTACTTTTTGATGGAGAGTTACAACCGCCCGAGATCTCGGGAAAGCCCTGAGCTTGGACATTCTGGCACGACGTAAATGATTTCCCTGCATCGCAACCCCCCTGCATGCCATGCCACCGCCTTCAGCTTATGAGCAGAGTTGGGCGCAATCTCTCACGGCGTTCACCTGCTAGGATAACGTCCATGCCGATGTGTCCACTCCCTGGAGCTGCTGTCGGAACGACACGGAAAGGGCGTGATAGTCGAGTGCGAACTAGGCCACTTCCTGGGGCGACCCTGCCAGGCAAGAAGGTTCGTCAACGCCTTGGGGCGCAACTTCCACCACGGGAGTAGTGTCAGCAATGATGAGGCCTCTAGATCGAAAGCACATCCAATCGCACTCAGGTCTGGAATACTGTAAGATACCTATAAGACGTTTGCTTTGCAGTTCCCGTCGTACTTCTCCGGGGGACTTGTCAAGGCTGATGCACAGTGCGTCCTCAGCGCCACTGACCCGAACCGCTTTGAATCGCCGCCAGTTGCCACTGGGTAGCTGAAAATGCTGGGCAAGACAAACAGCCCGAGCAAGTCCAGGCGCGCCCCCGCGAAGGTGCAAATAGAGGGTGCGGCCTGGGTTCTGGCCATGGACTAGGAAGCGATCATCAGTGACGCCCGTGTCCGAGAGCCATGTGTCAATGTTTTCTTCGATCGCCGCCTCTCCCGTGGGCTGTGCGTAGTCGATCCGAAAGATACTGGGGCCTGCAAGGCAGTCATACTGAGCCAGGCGCGCGAGGTCCACCACGCCAACGGCAGCGTCACGGACCTGAGGAAGAGCGCTGAAATTCCTGAAGCTCCGACTGCATGGCAATCTGGCGCTCCTCAACACTCTCTGTCAGATCCTGAAGAGCACAGAAGCCATCATCACTTTGGTCGAACCATCACCCTTGTGGGCGAAGCAACTCGACCACTGTGCTCAGGATGTCTGTATGAGCGTTACATGTGATGTGTTGTTTTTGGTTCGTAGCTGGATCCATCTGCACCTTGAACGCGTTCCGAACGACGGCCTGGGGTAGATGAAGAGGGTGCGGACGTGCAGCCGGAGCAGGACCAGCCCAAACATCCCCGTCGCCATGCAGAAGATCAGGCCTAGGGAATCAGTTCCACTCCTCGTCGGCCTGTATGGACATGAGGTTGATGTCGCGTAAAGCATGTGCAGCTTCGGCATGCGACATTGGAGGTGGTGTTGCTGCAACGCCAGAGCCCATGTGACCACCGCTATGAGCAGCAGCAGCAGCAGCAGCAGCAGCAGCACGCGCAGGGGCGGGTGCACGGACGGCTCGGTGATCGCCATCGCCAGGGCGAGCGATACGAAAGCCACTGCTACTGTCTGAGAGCGAGCTCGAGCAGTCACTCCTGCTGTCGCGGTCACGACGACGGTGTCAATCCTCTGTCCGACTTTGTCGCGCACGTCGATCCCGAGCGTTCGCAACTGTGTCAGTGCAAGGTGTTTCTCCTGCCTCATTACTTGGCATCAAGAAGGTATGAAAGGGTGGGGCTCAAGACGACAGGAACGGGAAATGCCTCCGCTTACCCGCCGCCCCAAACGCCGTGCGCTTGGTGTGCGAAGAACTCTGCAAGAATTGAAGAAGTTTTTCCCGCAGCGGGATAGCGGTAACCACTTGTTCCTGTATGGCAATCATCGCTTTGAGCCCAAATGACAACGGAAAGAGGAGAGGAAGGAGGATGAGGAGGGGGAGGAGGAGAAGTGGACGACGACGACGAAAAAGGAGGAATAGGAGAAGTAGGAATAATAGTAGGAGGAGGAGGAGGAGGAGGAGGACGACGAAGAAGTGGACGACGACGACGACAAGAAAGAAGGAGGAATAGTAGGAGTAGGAGGAATACTATGAGGAGGTAAAGGGAAGACAGGAGGATGAACACAAGGAGAAGGTTTGTAAAGACGCGGGGGAGGTGGGGGAGGAGGAGAGTGTGGGGGGGGAGGACGACGGCGGGGGGGCGGGGGGGGCAGGGGGACGAGGAGCAAAAGGAGGAGGAGGAGGAGGAGGAATATGACGAACACAAGGATGTCAGCTTTCGGGCCAGCTCAAGCCTCTGGCGGCCAATGTGGGCGACTCCTGCAACCCCCTGAATGCTCTCGGCGAGGTGCAACTGCTAGAAAGCGCCCCGAGGCGATAACAGCCATGAGAAACGACGAACATATCCGAAAGCTGCCCGAAACCGATCCGGGGCCGGCGCCGAGGAGGACGAAGACGACGAGGACGAGGAGATGGAGGAGGAGAAACTCCTTGACCGAGCGAACGAGGAGGAGAAGGACGACAAGGAGGATTCCACTTGGTCCTCGTCTTATCGTCTCGCGCGTCGTCGCGCCGACTGTGGGCAGGACTCAATGGCGCGTCGGTTCGGGCGGACGGAACCACTGGTGCAGCTCGTCCCAGATGACGAGGGTCATGCCGGCCAGAAGGAAGAGGAAGATGAGGAGCACAAGGAGGGGGAGGGGGAGGAGAACAAGAGAAAACGAAAAGTACGAGGATGATGACGACAACGAGCACGAGGAGGAGGAGGAGGAGGAGGAGGAGGAGGAGCTCCTCGACAAAGCGATCGCGCTTCTCGCCGGGCGCAAGGGCGTCGACTGGCGGGCCGACAGCGGCGCCGAGCCTCGCCGCCAGCTCCTGCCCGGCGGCCACGTTTTTCTGGTGGGGGGCGAGGAAACTGCCCAGGACCAGGAGGAGGAAGGAGGGAGAAGGGAGGAAGGAGGAAGAAAAAAAAGGACGGAGGAGGATTTTGGATTGCGCATCTGGTTCACACGCTGGTTTTTCGGGTTGAAAATCGGCACTCAACTCGCCAAACGTAAATGGATGGGGTTGCGACCCAAGCAGTGATCCGGCACAGGCGCCAGGTGGTGCTGACAATCGTTGCTGCCTTCTTGGCAAGGAAGATGGCGTTACACACGCAACACGACAGCTGGCTGCGAGCAAGAGCAGTAAAGCACGATGGCAGACTGGCAGCACAACAAGCAGGAGGCGGGGGCGGTCCTGGTCTGTTGGTTTGTGCTGGGTCCCTACCAGTGCAACAGAAAAAGTGTTCATGCTCAGCCGTGCGCGCGATAACTGAAGGGGGGGGGAGCGAATTTCGAGCCCCACGACGGTGCGCAAACGAGACGGCGCAGGAAAACAGCACGAATCTTCTCGGTAAGACGATGAAGAGAGGTCATCTGCAAATCGAACAGTCGCCTTGGCCAAAAGGGCACCTTGATACTGCAAGGCCAAAAATCTGGTCCAACGTGTGTGCTGTCGTCATTCCGCGCAGCAAAGCAAAGACATCTTCTGCCCCACAACAGCAAGAACGACGGACGACAGATGACATATATGTATGTTTAAAACGTGTCTCTATTTTCCGATGCCAGCAGACTCAGTAACAAGGAAAACGAACGATAAAGAATGCTATCGAACATGACCGGCGATGCTCAAACAGCCGCCTCCAAGCCCCTGTGAGCTAGGGGACACGCTTGCCAGCAGGAGGTTGGACAAGGGAGGGCAGGGAGGGACAGCCGTCTGAAAGTTTTGGGGGTTGGTCCAAAAACGGCAGCGGAACGGAGACACTCAAGAACACATTATCCAGCACGCAGGGCCATGTTTTTAAAACGTGTCTCTATTTTCCGATACCAGCTGACTCAATAACAGGGACAACGAACGATAAAGCATGCTATCGAACATGACCGGCGCTGCTCAAGCAGCCGCCTCCAAGCCCCTGTGAGCTAGGGGACACGCTTGCCAGCAGGAGGTTGGACAAGGGAGGGCAGGGAGGGACAGCCGTCTGAAAGTTTTGGGGGTTGGTCCAAAAACGGCAGCGGAACGGAGACACTCAATAACACATTATCCAGCACGCAGGGCCATGTGTTTAAAACGTGTCTCTATTTTCCGATGCCAGCAGACTCAGTAACAAGGACAAAGAACGATAAAGCATGCTATCGAACATGGCCAGCGCTGCTCAAACAGCCGCCTCCAAGCGCCAAGCCCATATATATATATATATGAACCGGAAGGGAGGGTGGGGAACTACAAAAACAAACGTTATATAGTCACTCCTGAGGCGGCAGTCTTACAACACGATTTTACGAATAACGAAGAAGATGAGCCATGTTTTTCACAGAACCCGACGGGATAGGCGGAAGCCTTTTCCGAATGGAACGTGCCGCTGTCATCTTTCCCTGCAATCTCCGTATGAGGGTGGCCAGTAAACGAACACGCGCCACGACCGCGGCACTTGTCAAAGCTGAGGGGGTCGAGCACGCAATTAGCATACAATAAACGGGTACGTTTACGATAACATGATTTGAATGCACAATGGTCACAATCCACAACATTATAATGGGCAATAAGCTTCTGAAAACGAGGATGGAGCCACAACATGGAGCCTCGAGGGTTCTCGATGATAACAGGGGCCCCAAGAGCAGCCAACTGAGGAGAAGACAAGCAGCCCAGTCGGCCTGGCGGGTGCCCAGCTGTACCTTACGTTGATCATTATCCGACAGGTCTGGTAATCCCAAGATACAATCACGAGAACGAATTGGGCCGGGCCAACCACCAGGGTGAGGGTTTCGTCTGGCCCGAGACCACGACGCACAGACAAGGCCAATCCAGACAAACTTCAGCTCTCGCCCGGCAAGCCCAAGCAGGAGCCGAGAGACATCAGGACGCAGCGCGTCCTCTAGCTCAGCGTCGGCATGCTCGAAAGAGCGCATGGCCAGTCCAGCGCGGACACAGGCAGCAGAGAGTCCACGGCTGCCCGCCACGAGCTCGACCCCGATCTGATTGGCGAGCTCTGTGACTCGAGGCCTCTGCAGCAGCCCGCCACGCGGGCCCCAGTCGTCCAGCGGCCCGAGCCTGGCTATCGCACTGGCCACGAGGCGCGGGCGCGCCCGCCGAAGAGGTCCTGGAGCCTCGTCCACTGGACCTCGCCGTAAGCCCTGGCGGCGGGCGACAGCGCCGACAGCAGCTGCTGTGCCATGCCAGGCTTTGCATACCGCTTCACACTGGTGCCCCCTCGTTTTCACCTCGGCGAGCGTCCGACGCGCCGACAGCGCGTCCTCGCTCGCCCCGCCGTGCCGCAGCTGGCACAGGCCCACGTCCTGCAGCCCCTGCGCCTCGGTGACCCTCCGGAACAGGACGGCCATCTCGACTCCCGTCGCGGTGAAGAGCAGCTCGTGGCCCTGGCGGCCATGAGCGTGAAGGGCCAGCAGTGGCCCCAGCCACAGCGGGTTGTCGAGCGGCACCGCTTCGTCGGACGCCCCCGTCCTTGTCAGGAACCGAGACGGCTTCGCACCCTCGGCGAACGGGGCCAGGGGGCGTGCCAGGGTCGGCGCCAGGAGGAGCGACCACGTCGCCATGGCCCCTCCGGCGCGCGTTGGCTGCAGGAGATCCCTGACCAGTACCTTCCTCAGCGCACCGGGGCGGATGAACGTGCTGAACATTGTGAGCACCTGGAGCGCGGCGTCCCGCTCGCCCAGTGAGAGGAGCCCCGAGATCGCCGAGCCCACGACCTCGCGGGGCGCTGGGGCCCGCGACCGAGGAGGCACTCTCTTGGCGTACCCCTTCAGCGCCCGCTGCGCACGGGGCAGGGTCTTCGGGCCCGTCGCCATCGGCAGCGCGTCCTTCACGGAGGCGACGAGGTAGTCGGCGTCGCCCTTCGCGCAGCCCGCGCGCAGGAACGCGTCCAGCACCGACGGCACCTGCACCTCGAGCTCGTCGAGCGTCTCCGCCGGCTGACCCACGAACTCCACGAAGGCCTCGAAGTACTAGAGCCTGCCCGAAGCACCTGCGGCAGCCTGCTCGCACGTGGACGGGCTCGCGGCCGTCGCCGGGGAGGTCCGCGGGGCCGCCAGCGCCGCCTGCAGCCGTGGGCGGAGCGCTCCCCTGCCGGCCGCGGCGG